GCRATTTGGCCTATATGCGACCATTGATGGAAATAGGTTAACGCGAACCATCTCCGGGAAGTGCGCTTKCAARAGTGTCACTGCCCTGTCCTCTGCRCTGGTCGTATAGGTCTCATACTGTCTTTTAAAGAATAATGCAGTGTCCGCCTTGGCTCTAGACAAAGCCTTGTGCAGTTTGGTTGTCCCAGGGGTCGAGGAGAYATTCTGACAGAATTTCCTGAAACTGTTTGTTGTTAGGTGCTGCTTATATTSCTCCAAGTTGCCCGTGCGCTTGRCTTTATTGTAAAGCCTGCGAACTGATTGCCTGAGCATTGAAGGTTTACAGGACCACCATGAACAGGTTTGTTTCCTGGTGATCGCCTTTAGTAGAAAGAAAGCGCAGTGATAGGTGTCYATTATAAACTGGTTTGTCGCAGCCAGCCTTCCCTACAGTCCAGCTACGGTGGACGCACTATCTACCTGCATCACTCTGTTTATATTTTGCCCAGTTCATACTTCGAGGGAGTCGAATCGGTGGACGGTCCCTAACATTTACCTTTAGCGCAAATCGCATGATCTTTGATCTTTGATCTGACATTGGGGGTTCTGGCAACATCCGCCATTAGGAGATTAAACTCGTCATGTATTCATTGCTTAAGGTCAAGGACATCCCATTCCCTGAATTGGTACATCGAATCGCAAGATTTTGAAAAAGTGGGCRTGASTTYTCCCCTTATAGTTTTGGCTCCATTCGAGCTTTACCACCCAAATTTATGCAGGACATATAATTTAGACACCTCTTGTGATAACATGAAAATAGATAAAATCGGATGATAACCACACCCACTCTATATAAATTAATGACTAGAGTTTAACATCCAAGATGGCATAAGGGAGATTTATTGGAACCTGTGCCAAAATTGATCCCATCGAGCCCACCGCCCATATTTAGACGTATGTACATCCATTTTTCAGGAATTTCATTAAATTCGGTATATAATATTATCCTGACATTCCTACATTTCAGAGCAAAAATACAAGACAAAACCACRCCTACTTTCCATATAACACAATTTTTAATTCAATCTGATTCATTCACTTGCTAGTATACAAATCTAGAACCAATCAATGTAAAACTTTCCACAAATAGATCCCTTAAGATATTTCATCTTACTCGAAAAAAATTTCGAAGTCGAACTAGATTCAAGAAYTCAGACACCAAATCATGTGGACCTCAGTTAGGTTTAGTAGGGTTAGGTGGACAGGTATATGAAGTGCTTTGTGAAKTCATAGAAAATAATAACTCCTGCGTTCGGACTTATAAATTAGGAAATACAAATTTGCACAGACATTTAATTTCTGCTCCCGCCTGTTCGGTGGTCTCCCACACGCGGGACAGTCTATAATGAAGTGTTGTGTTGTTTCCACCTCAGCTTCTTCCAAACAGCTTCTGCAAACGGCGTCTGGTAAGATTCGCAACTTTACAGCATGGACGCTGATGGCCCAGCGCTGGCCAAGCTTCCGCGAAGCACAACTATGGATGCTCACTTCTCTGAAGGAGGCTGCACTACGGAKCAGTAAATCTACTACTACTAAATACTTTAATGGCTGCAACCGCGGCTTGGAAGACACTGCAATAGTCAGGAAGTCTGAAGCCGGAGATGACAGAGAAGTCCTGACAGTGATTTCCTCCACCAACCTTTCCCAAAAACATTGACCCAACCGYAAAGAAGCCTCTCCCTGCTCTTCCACTCCAACGGTCTGGATATGGGCAGAGAAAGAGCCGCCAGAGTTTGGTTTGGCATGATCTAAATGATTAGGTATGAAGSCAAAGTGTGTGAGTACATSCGARCGTTTATATCCACGTTAKTTTAAGAACCCAGATTCTTTGAGTGTAATAACCACTTTCGCGGTCATATACCTTCCGGCGATATCTCAGTGATTATGACTGATTTTTTGTCGAAAATATCGTTCAGCCTGTGAGATATTTTATTGAAATTAGTATGACTGCATGTCAAAAACAGGTTGAATCGGATGAATATTTCCCTTAACGCCCCATTATGGGTTTCCCAAAATTAACCCAATATATCATTTTAAAAGTTTAAAATAAAATACCCAAAAGTAATTTATTTGACCGAGAAAATATTACATGTCTTCTCTTTATAAATAGATAGATTCCATCTTCATACTCTAGCATATCCTTATTCTATCAAATTCCGYTATTAGTTAAATTTAAAATCAAACTGTATTCTAAAGACTTTGAATAATTCGAGCTACTTCCACAATTTTTCAACTAATAATTAACGCCTCAGCTGCCTTACGTCAATTTCCGTTCTTCAGTCGATATTCATCTTAGCACCAGGTTTTATGGTGTTGAAAACCATGCGATGATCACGTATGATGTGAGGTTTACACAAACACTTTATGCTCTGATTACACTTTCCACTTGGCATTCATTATATGAAATGAAGGGTATCAAAACTAATAGAAAATCTTATAAAATTTTTATGAGTATTCCATAATTGCCATTGAAGTATAGATCTAGTATAGATTAGTGTTAGAATTTAAAATATGCTACTTTAAAACAGACCGCAGATCGAAAAAATAAGATTTCTGATATAAAAATGTGGGATAACGTAGCTTAGGTGCGATTAAGGGCGTACGTCAAATTACGATTTGATCAAAAGAACCGATGCTGTTTTCCCAAATAATTCCGTAGTAAGCTATACAGTTTTCMGCGCATGAAAGTTTTTAGACAATCGATATATGTAAGGTTAATCTGGTAGGSCAATAAGCCACACATAGACCAGTTTGGTCCTTTGCGATACCAGTTGCTCTTTAACGAATTTTAACAGACTCTGCTGCCTCACTATCGATACCTCCTCCAGTGTACCATACTGTGGGGACCCCAGATGCTTACAGCGTAGTCTTGCCAATGCGGGACAAGTGCACAAGAGGTGCTCCATTATTTGTTTGGTGCCCTGCTCTAGCCATTTCCTGCAATCTTCTCGATCTTCCTATTAAGTCTTTACGATGGGAGCAAAGAACTTAATATACGAAGAATTTCTAAAACTCGTWACTTCTACTAAACACTCACTAATTCAGCCGAAAACTAAATTTAAATTGCCGAAAAATATAATTAAAGGAAACAGCTTCGAGCAGCCTGAGGAAACATGCACTTCAGTCCATTTAACGSCTCATAGACGCCAGAATTTTAACACTAAAATTAAATAAAATTTAATTACCGAAACATAATCAATAATGGTGATGTAGCTGGTAAAATTTTTATTACAATTGATGAATATTTTATGAGCGAGTAGCGGTAATTAAAAATAGCGGAACGACTGATTACTTCTCTATAAAATCAACATGCCACAACATATTGGCTGAAAAACGCCGCGGGAAACACTCATGGATCAACTGCATCCAGTGATTCGCCACAAAATGCATACACAGTAGTGGGGGGAATATTMGCAGTCATGCTTGGATAGGCAAAATGGCTTTTCGAAATCGATTGGGTTGGCTGCGCTCCGGTCAAGTTCTTTTTAGACCCTGTTGTAAAGGCTAAAAACAGAGAGAGCGCGAATATTTATGGAAGTTTTGGAATACTTCAACGAATATTTGTGTCAATAATTTCTAATAAAAATAGAAATTATGGCCATCAAAATTTTACTGGTCCTTGATTCGATGCTATTTATTATGCATCATCTCGATTGAGTAACAATAACCTCTGTGAGATTATCTGCTATTTAAAAATATTTCATAAAACCCATAAGGCCATACTAAACGAACTAACCCATTCTTAGTCGTATATCGTAGAGATTTCATGTCAAATTTAGCAGTTTAAATTACTAATCCTGCAATTTATCGATCTACATTTTTCCTCCTAGATCTTTCTCTATCCCGCGCTCCTCCAGCGTGTTTTCATTGTTGTCGATCGGGTTTCGCTTCCTACTCCCTGATCCATCTTCCCGAACCTTTCGTATAATATATCCGACTTACTTATGTTCAGGATAGTKTTGGMTACCATCGTCCTTGCCGGAGTTGGTGACAGCAGCCAATGAGTGCCACGATTAAATACTTYYTRGCTATCGCTGACAGTCACCACCGCCCTGGACGTAGGGGRTATCTSCCGCCCGGGTCTGACGATTAGTTTTTTAGTGTCTTCCTTTTTCCTTGGTCGTTGAGTCGGACCTGCTGTTTCGCTTCCTGCAGACYCCTACCTTTGGGCAGCAATTCCTTCCTTAATCCTTTTTGCGAATCTTGGATCCGTGGATTTTARTTAATTTTTGTTTCCATTGCCAATATTCTGATCGACAGTGTRCTAATCATACTCCCTTTAACATATTTGTTTATTTATATTGTTTGGCCCTCAAGCATGAGAAGCATTTCGCTTGAAGCATGCCTAGCAAGATGCAGAGAATGGTAGGGGGAAGAGTGTGAAAGCACATGCCAGCAAGATGTACTTCCATACTCGACTTTACTTGCTCATAAATAGATTATAGGCATGGATCTTGCATCTACAGCTACACATACTACTACATCTGTGTGTATGTTTGTACATATGTATGCACATGGCTACAAAAAAACTGCAGCATCYCTATTTTTATGAATTATGCCCACACGAACGATCAATGAAGATCATCGCTAAGCTGATAGCGAGCAAACACAGCAGCCCGCTAATCCCACTCTCACCCACACGACGCTTCACCAACAACAACTCTATTCGCACACACACATACAAAATTGTGTGTGGTGTGTTCTCAAGCGTAACATGTGCAGGCTTTCTGCAGTTACAATTAATCAAAAAGATTTTCCTGCATTTATAATTTTTTCCTGCCTTAKAGAAATAAGCAACCACACAGATGCAACGATCTAATGCAACGATCTAAGTGCAATACTGTCTCTGCTTGCTGAGCGCATGCTGCGTGCGCTCTGCCAACTCTCATCGTTTGGGCTCTGTCGTGAAAGTCAGCTGGCTCCWAAATATTGCGCTGTTAAACTCAAAATCCATTCGTTTGTCGAACCTCGTGCTGGAAAGTCAACCAAGTTGGCGGTGTGATTAATTGCCGCAGTCTGTTAGTGTTAGCAGCTAGATCCTATTTAAGTGTAAGATCTGTAACTGTGCACAAGTTAATCTAGCGTCACTTTGTCGAATWTATAACGGATTCTCGGTGAGCATTAAAGTGCAGCGTCAACATTTTCATTGATGAGGAGTCGTTTTGAGTTCAGAAAAAATAATAAATTGATAAAAATAAAAGAATAT